AGTTTCAGCCTTCTAGCTTTTCTGGTTCTCGAGTTGAAAGTGGGTGACAAAAAGTGCGAACACACGCTCGCACACACATACACACAGACAGCCTTTTCCCAATATGCGTTTCTGCAATTTGCATATATGCAAAAACGCATAAAAAGTAGATGATTTCATAAATCAGGGCATTTTAAAATTTTTTTGGACTATAATTCGAAATTATTCACCATGCTTATCTAAGCCGAATGGTAGATGTACTTTGTAAGCTGTTATCCTACTGTGCTGGTGCAATTATTGGCCGGCACACTGATTGCCGGTGCGAAGACACGGAGACGATTTATTCGCACTTCAGCTAAAGCTTTTTCTTTGTTAGTAAAGCAGGATAACAGCTTAACAAAGTATTCACCAAGTCTTTATAATGCGCCTTAGTTACAGTGTTGCTACAGCGAAAAAGAGTGCTTATTGTCAAAAGGTTGTTGACGTGTGTGTGTGTGTGTGTGTGTATGTGTGGGCGAATGAACTACTTCATCACTTCAATTCGAGAAAAAGATACACGGAAGCTGAAAGTTTCGGAGCATATCCCCACCTCATTATGCTGCATATATGCAAACGCAATAACTGGCCAGCACACTGACTACCGGTACGAAGATGCGTCTTTTGCACAGTTCCCCCGCAGGCTTTGTTGCTAACGACATTGTTTTTCTGGCAGATGCTTCTAGCTAAAAGAATTGAGACCGGCCACCACGAATATCAGGAATTACTACAGTGACCTTTAATCCGTACTAGAAAAATTCAACACGCTACGTGCTTCGATTGCGATGTCACGTAACACTTTACGTGTCCGTACATGAGAATCATGAATGTTGTCGTAACGTGCATCCGCCAGAACGCGGTCCTGGGCTATGTTCTGAAAAATTTCAGCAGTCCAGCTGCTGTGATTTTAAAGTTGCGTCAAATTTCACATGCTCGTACGTTAAGGGAAACGTGGATACCGTTTTCACATGCGCATATCCAAACACGGCCCTAAACGACGCTCAGAAAATTACAACACCTCAGCTGCTTTGATTACCGAGTTACGTCAAATTCCATGTGTTCGCACTTGAGAGAAAAAATGGACGCTGTGTCCAAGTGCGCTTGCCCAAACACAGCCCTGGGCCACGCTCAGAAAATTTCAGCACTCCAGCTGCTCTGGTTGCGGAGTTACATCAAATCTCACATGTCCATATGTGATACGCATGTGAGACACAAAGGGGACGTGAAAGTTGTTTTCACATCCACCTGGTCAAAGGCTTTGTCGGCCATGCTCAGAAAGTTTCAGACTCTATCTGCTTCAGTTCCGAAGTTATAAAATCGTCTATGTAAAATTTTCAGGTGACCGCGCATGAGATGCAGAAAGGCTGGAAGGTTCAATTAACTTCCACAGACACACTAGTGGGCAACAAGTAACGCTGCAAAATAACAGTTCTGTACAACTTCTTGGTCAGCCCAAGTTCCGAGTTAGCGCGATGCCGATTTAAAATTGCCGTATAAAAACGTAAGATCTAGGAGTACGTGAAGGCCGAATTTAAAATTTCTGGGTTGGACGCGTTCAAGGAATATCTTTGCGAAGTTTTGGCCTTCTAGCTTGCCCCGTTCCCGAAATCGCATTTCTAACAAAAAAATTTTCACGTGCCTGTACGTGATAGCCACGTAGACATGAGCAACCATTTTAATGACAGGAGCCCGTACGTACATGCAGATTAAGTTGTCAAAGTTTCAGCCTTATAGCTTTGTAAATCTCGAGATGGAAACTCGGTAGAGACGCACACACAGACATCCTTCGACAATATGGGTTTTTGCATTGAATCGATGCAAAAAACATATTGTGACGACCCACAGTGTGTATGTTTATGTGTATGTGCGTGCATCTGTCCGAGTATTTCAACTCGGCAGCCAAACAAGCTTCGGTGTTGAAATTTCGCTAGTGGGTTCCCTGGCAAAGTGCCACCCCAAGACGGCAGTATCAACCTTCATGCATGTTTGGGCACCGCGTAGGAGAACGTGAAAGTTTTGGCGGGGAAATTTCCAACTCAGTGACTAGAAAAGCTGGAAAGCTGAAATTTTAACAGGAATGCTCCCCGTCCAAGTACTACGTAGTTTGCACAATTATCTTGAACTTCGAGAACCAGTATGTCGCAAATTCTAGCTCCTGGGATTCCAAGAGATCTTACTACAGCACGAAATGGTGCAAAAACGCAAGACCGCACGAGCATGCCTGGTGCGTGTCGCCAATAATTTCGAAATTATCGTTCACGTATGCTTGGGTATTGCGCACATAGTCGAAAGGAAAATAGGTGGATTTTTTGGCGGTAAGCGATTTTGAGAACCAGCCGACATTGAAGTTGAAGTTCTGCAGGGGTGTTCCTTTTCCATGTGTGAGCTAAAGATCTTAAATTCAGCTATAATTCCCTTCTACGTCACGCACACGGACATGTTAAAGTTCATAGTTGGCACAGTGCCTAACTCGAGAATTCCTGGATAACGATAGCTAGAATTTCGCGAGAATATTTGTAGTCCATCTGGGGACTCCTAAACCTAAACTGAGTTTTGAACTGGACCAGCGTCATGCGTTAGAGCATACCAGAAATGTTTTTAACGAAGTAGCGGTTTTGGGAACCGGCCAAGCCAGGAAGCTGAATTCTGCAAGGATATTCTATGTCTATGTGAGACTTGAATATTTTAAATTGAGCTTCCAAGGACACTGTTAGGCAGTGCAAATATATGTGTAGAGTTATATCCATAAGGAGGCACGCGCCAAGCCTTCGACTCTGGATTGATAATCTGAGATCTTGACTAATGACGGATATACGCTGTTGTATTAGTGTGTGTAATAAAGTTGCCCTAACTCGGCCAGATCGTCGCGTCAAGATCGGCCCTGTAGTTGCTCGTCTAGCGTATAATCTTCGTCCCTACACCTCGTTAATTAAAGCCCCTTTCCAGCTCTCGGTTTCGGTTCAGATAATTCAACGTCGGGAACCAGACACCCAGGTCTCGCGTAACACGCAAGCAAATTTTTAAATTTTGCACCCATTTACTCTGCAACCAGATTAACCAGGAAGCAGAAATTTTATGAGAATATATTATCCATTGAAAGTCTGTAAAAACAAAACCAGCTTTCATAAATGCCTCAACACGACGAACTGCGTTTTGCCAGCAGTGCCCTCTTGTAAAATTTGCTGCAATCATACATGCCTGAGGTTCACTTTTCACATCGCCTGTCCAAAAGTGTCACCTCAATCGATGCCCTATTCCGCCCATGTGAAAGAAAATGCAAAAACATTGCCAACAAGAGTGCACATATTAAACTGGAAAAAAGCCATTAATACTGTTAACGATATGATTATTTCAAGGTTTGAGAGATAACATACGATCACACTGGCAGGTCTGGCACGTCGCCACCTGAGTTATAAATCAGGCGAACTTTGTTCATCCATAATTGATCAAATTTAATTTATTTTCGTATGCAACACATTTTTTTATTATTTATTTTTTCAAACTTACATATGGCCTAAATCGTTGTTCATATAAGGGTCCATTTATTTTTGCAATAAACTGCATTTATTAGTTTATATAACTGTGCTTGTTCATAGCAATAAAAATCCCAAGATTTTCTGCACTTGCCTAATACTGCAGCAATTTCGATAACTGTCGAAAGAGCAGCAAAAGAAAGTGAATTAATTTTGCACGAACGCTAATTAACGAAATAGTATAAACTTTATGCATCTTATTTCGGCCTCAGAGCTGAGACATCTCAGCGGCAACCCTACTTCACTTCTTTCTAGTCTTTTCGGCGCTACGCCGCCCTTCCTGACACTGACCCCTCTCCTTGCCGCTCCTTCCTTTAAACATTGTGCTTTCATTACCACTTTTTCGAGAACTTTCAGCAAACCACTCTTTAAGAAATGCACGGGCACTCGACAGCAGTTAAGTGTTCGTGATTTTACAACCAAGAAATGCTTGCTAAGATGCGGCCGACAGTTTCGAAATTTGCTTTGTAAAAATGCTGTGGTAGATCGGGTCCAACAACTTATCACTGGCAAAACTAATAAGTGTAGTTGTTAGCTTTGTTGCATTTCTCTACTGAATGAGCAGAACTAAAGAAAACAGTTCTAACCAACAAGCACTTATTTTTGAGCTTTGAAAGTCATACACTGGCAAACAATTCACAAAGTTATACACTGGCGAACAAAAAAACCAGCTAAAACTTAGATTCAAATAGCAAGTCTATGGAGAATGCTTGATTTCTATTTCTAACAGAAAAATTTTACTGATGTTTCATACCAATTTTAAGATTCTAAGCGACTCGAGAGGGAATCATCGAAAAACTTGCTGGTTGGTTATTGGCATTTGCGTCTTTCAGAATACTTCTGAGTATCATCGCCTCACATAAAGATTAGATACGGAAGGAGACTGGCTTTTTGACTTTAAACTTAAATGCCTCCAGTGATCTTGTTTGACATTGTGATGCGTCTGTTTCTGAGTTAGTGACTTGTTGACAATTTTTTCTGAGAGACCTTTCAAATCTGATGATTGGCATCTCTTGCTCCTCACGAAACCATTTGATATCCACTTCTGCATCCAGGCTTTTCTGCAAACCAATCACTGAGCAAATAATTGCTACATTCTCGCCACTTTTGCGATTTTGCAGCTGCTGTGCTGTTGGCAAGATGTGTACTTCCCACCCTGAAATGAATAGATGCCCATTTGATTAATATTTAAAGAATGAATAAGTGCATCAACATGCCGACTCCTCAGCTGTCAAAGAAAATGGGAGAAGGCATTCACTTTGTCTGCTGCTTGGTGGGTTATGAAGAATCAACCTGTGGTTCCTTGTTTGATATAAAGCATTTTTTCCACTGAAGACTTTCTATCGAATAATGCTGCTACGGCGAACGATCAGCTAGAGCGCAGCTTAATCAGTAAGGCCCAGAAGGAGAAGGCAATTTTATATTTCCTATCAGCGGATAAAATCAAAATGCTAGTGATCTGTGCTTGCGACCCCAGTGATTGCAATCCTTAATTAAAATTAAATTGCCGAATTCGCACTGAGGGGACTTTGATCTCCTGAGCAGCTATTAATTCGCTTTTACGTTCCTCTTTTGCCGATTCAACTCTCAACATCATCGACCCCTCCGATTCCAATCCTGTTACACTCACGCAAATGAACCAGCTAAAAGAGCAAATTTTACACGAAAACGAGAAGGTTCTGCTGTAAATGCGTAAAATCTGACTAAAGAACTATATTTTAAAGTCAGTTGCAGAGCAGTAAAGTGCAACAAGAAGCCAGAAATACCGCTGATTTTATCCTCAAAAGTTAAGTGCCCTGCTCGAGAAAATGTGGTGCGAAAATAGGAATTGGCGACAACGCCCTCGCTAGAAAGAGAAAAATAACGTACGCTTCCCTCAAATAGTTAACTACGCTACACGCAGGCTGTTATTAGTAACAAACTAGCTGGGAATCTGAGAGAATCTAAGTGGAATTGAAATTGGAAGGTTTCCAGACGCTTCTTTCCTCTTTTAGTTGACATATATTTTGATTCTTACTAAATCCATGCGAATTGCGTAACACTTATTCTATACACACATACACACACACATATATATACATATATATATATATATATACATATGTATATACATATATA